GCCTAAGTAGTCAGTTCCTTTATCTTCCTAATGTGTCTGTAAATTTACTTACAGGTCATACTTAAATAAAATATAGAAAATCTAAATATTTTTCATTACTTTACAAAATTCTCGTGTCACCTGGATTTAGAAATAAAAATTAAMGCAAAAGGTTAAAAAGATTTAACAGCACAGATTCGCCCAAAAATTTCATATTGAGTTCGTTRCTTAAGTCTTTTGCTGGTAATCAATATTTCCTGYCACGCAGTAACCTTGACTTTGGAATTCCCGTTCATTTACTGTATACATGTAAACCGTGAAAGTAAAAGGTAATTGTTCCAAATTAYTAACTGAACAGTAAAAAATAAAATAAAGCGAAATATATATAATCTTATATTAAAAAATACATAAAAGCAGTGAGCATGGCATGCGGCGCTGGTTACTACACAGCATTTTTTCTGTTCTGAAAGAGAGATCACAATAGACTATAAATATTGTTATATTATTCTAAATGAACATCCGCCAGTTAGGTTTACATATAATTGAAGTAAGTGGAAGTGAAGCTAAGTTCAACTATAGTGGCTTGAAAGCTAAAAATTTTCTCTTAGAACTAAAAAAATAGAACTTAAGGTTTTTTTTTATTATTTCTGAAGCATTTCCATCTATGACAATCCAATTAATCATTACACAACCCATTTTAATGTGACAAAATTGCACTGACGCTTTTATGTTGCCATTTGGATACCGATATATATGAGAATCAATGTCGGACATTGCATGAGAATACTTAGTACATTAACAAACAAGATTTAAACTTTAACTTAAAACATATGTCAATTGGTTCATTACCACTTATAACTAAATTGCATCGCCTGACACTGGCTGACTGCAACTCTGAGGGGTGCGGTGAGGAGAACYCTGGCCGGTTTTCCTTTTTAAGCACCTCTGCCTAGCTCTCAGCTTCGTATAATAGGACGATGATTGTCGTCGACATTAGAAGCTTTCTCTTTTTCTCTTTTCTTTRCTGGGCCTTCTATATATATTGRCCATTAGTCGGCTCAGTTGGGAGGTGATCTTCGCTGCCTTTCTYACGGTGTGCTGGATTTGTACGCAGAAGATTARTCTGGGGTCCAGTCTTAAGTTTACTTAGTTTACTGCTTTTTATGTCCTAAGAATATCTGTAGTCGTTTGCATGCTTATATCGAGGGGTACGTGCTTATTTGTTAGCAGTAGTATTCTATTTTTTTCGTAGCGAACTGTAGGGTGTGTGAGTTTACATGTTTATTTTGGCACTAAACAAAAGGTAACAACTTCAACCTCTACTGCATATAGTTGCATGTAGATGCTAAGAGGTTTACTTCGTAGTTCATAATAACAGTTTTCATATTTCAGTTATCTATTGAGAGCTTACCAAATACTTACTTTCAGCTAATCACATTAATCACCTTTGAGATRAAACTTAATTATATAATTCAGAGAATATATTTAGGAATACACATATGTTGGAAATTAGATAGTCAAAATATGCATTAACAGTCTTCGAACCTTGAATATTGATGAACCAACAAAYAACTAATGAMAGTAAAAGATAATGTCATAATCAAMAGCATTRAGAATAGCRAGCTGTTATATCACTCTAAGCATCCTTTGACATTGACTTCRACTTAGTGACAGCGGCGAATCGATGATTGATGTGATTGTTAAGCATCAGCAGCCTTCAATATAGTAGAAAACGGAGCTGTTATAAGTTGAACTGTTAACCGTATTCTACTATTGCTCACTGAAGAGCTGCTGTTGATTTGAAAACTTTTCACACCATAGAAGAAGTTTTCTCTATTATTGGGGACGAATATGTCCTTTGGTTAGAGCCATTGTATAATATATTGATATTATTCGCGGAAGTAGAGTACCTCTCATTTTCTGATCGTCACCACTATGTATATAAGTAACATAGTTGTCTAAGTATTTTTTATTTTCAAACACATACTCATACTCTCACTTGGGTAAATATTCGGTTACTGTCGCTAGCATAACAGATAATGTTACATGAATTCAGTTTTGAAAATAATTACGCTTTTTAAATCACTCGGATATGTAGTTTTATGTTTTCACAAAAGCCGGCTTTCCTTGAGAATTCAAAATAATAATTTTGACTAGTTCTCCGATCGTTAATTTTCATTTTTTTACATTTGTGAAAATTTTTACTAAAAACAACCAGCAGATCCTCTTTTTCGCTGACCCTCTTGCAGATCTGCTAAATAATCAAGGAAATTACTCAAAACGCATCGAATATGCAATTTTAAATTTTGTAGCTGCAAATATTTTTACTCATTTATTAAATAAAATTAATCTTGAAAAAAATTACCAAAATAGGTTTTTTGAAAAATAAAATAATATAATAAATTAAAAAATAAAGTAAAACTAAATTGATATGTATATATTTATGACATGACCCAGACAATGTTATAACACAAATAAAATTCTTGCAAATCTGACAAATAGAGCAGCAATGGAATGCTGTCAAGCAAATTAATTTATATGCAAACTAATGTGAATATCACACAACCCAATACATATGCTTTCTCCCATCTGCTGCGATTGTACATATTTCAATATGATAATAAAATCTGTAACAACAACAACTACATTGAATGTACAATTAAAACTAAAGCAGATGCAGCAACAAAATGTAACAAACCAAGCAGCCGCGCGATAACTCACATACCAACTCACCACACACCGCATTGTGGTGAAAAACAAGACATATTAATTACCAGCGAGTGCCTAGGGAGTCGCTGCAAACTCAGAGCGTGCTGTTACGCTTCGACGAATGACAAGCATACGCTTTGCATTGGCTTGACGGTGGAAGCGCTGCCAGCAATACCGGCAAGCGAACAATAGAACGCGCGTCCAACTAGTAGCCTCCAAGCAGCTGCCTAACACGCCGACGTCGTTAGGCGCATGGTAAGCGGCGCTAGCAGCCCAAAGCATTGCGCGACCGCTGACAACAGCAGACGCTTGTTGTTTTTGCTACGACACGCCGCTGACGTTAGCGGCACTGCGACTCCATGCGACCAAATGCTAGCTACTTGCTAGCTGCGCAGGGTTTTCGAGACGACTGCGCGCTTGTTTTGTGTATTTAACGGAAACTTGATCTCAGAATCGGCACAGTATTCCGGGCAATTCAGCAGTGTGCAATTCGGTGGTGCCAACGAAATACTTAAAGTGCGAATTTTCTTCACAATTTTAGCATGAAAATTAATTATAAAAAATTATCTTATTGTGTGTTCAACTAAAATTTATTGAAAAAATATTTTATTTTTCATTTTAGCAAATCTTAAGAAACCCTTAAACCTCTCCTTGCAATCGAAAAAAAGTGCAACCTTTGTGGTACCCTGTGTTTGCAACAGTTTAAAGAAGCGTGAACAAATTCAATTGAAAAAATGGCAAGTCTGAAGTGTATAATTGCTCTCACAATCGCCCTCTATGCGAGCGCTGTGTTGGCGCGACCAGGATACGCCGTCGACTACTA